ATTCAAAACTAAACAAGAGTAGACAGGAGAGTATAATGATCCTCATGTACTTATCACCTGGCTTTGATGGCTATCAACTCATGGCCAATCTCCTTTTTTTTTTTTTTTTTTTTAGTTTATTCCTGAAAGACACACCAAGAGAGATAGGCAGAGACATAGACAGAGGGAGAAGCAGGCTCCATGCAGGGAGCCCGATGTAGGACTTGATCCGGGGTCTCCAGGATCACGCCCTGAGCCAAAGGCAGATGCTCAACTGCTGAACCACACAGACATCCCAATTCATGGCCAATCTCAATCCATCTATACTCCTACTTCCCTCTCCCACATAATTTGAAGCAAATCCCAGGCATATTATTTCACCTGTAAATATTTCAGTATATATTTATAAAACATAAGGACTTTTTGAAAAAACACAATTACAACATCATCATCATAACTGGGTAAGTGGGGGCATCTGGGTGGCTCGGTGGTTGAGCATCTACCTTTGGCTTAGGGCGTGATACCAGCATCCTGGGATCAAGTCCCACACTGGGCTCTCTGCAGGGAGCCTACTTCTCCCTCTGCCTTTGTCTCTGCTTCTCTCTCTGTGTCGCTCATGAATAAATACATAAAACCTTAAAAAAAAATAACTGGGTAAATGGCGATCAGAAACTGGAGATATCTGGGAAGAGAAGTAAAGAAAGAACAAACTTAGATGCTTACAGGTAACACTTTGCTATGTTTATCCTCATTGGGCATATAAATTTCTTTTTGGAAGCCCATCTTATGGCTTCAAATACTTTTTTTAAAGATTGTATTTATCAGGCAGAGAGCCTGGTGTGGGACCCGATCCTGGGGCTGCGGGATCACACCCTGACCCAAAGGCAGATGCTCAACCGCCCAGCCACCCAGGCGTCCCATTCAAACACTTTTTTTTAAAACTATCAAACTCCACTCATTGGGCCAGAGACTCGTGTGTTAGGAGAAGACTTGCCCCTCCTGTAGCACACTATCTACACTGTGTGTTCATCGGCCAGCCGGTGGCCTCAACTCCAAGCTCTAAAGACATGGAGTTTCAAATATGATTTACTTACTGAGGTCTGTATTCATGCCACTAGTTCAGATCTTGACCCCCGCCCCCGACATGCTTTGCACTGTAGGCAAAACTCTACCTGGTACCACTACTCTGCTGTCTAATGGACATCTCAAAGCAAACATATCTAAAATGGAACTTTTAGTTTTACTCCTAAATTGTGACTCATATCTTCCCTATTTCAGTAAATGGGTATTTCCATCAATTGCCAAAGCCAAAATAATAGTAATCTTTGTCTCCTTCATTTCCCCAACCTCCACAATCAATCAATCACCAAGTGCTGTTGGTATTACCTTGAGATTATTAATTTCTTCTATTATTGATACTACACGAAATCAAATCACAACTGAGAAACAACTGGACTATTAAAATAGTCTTCTGGTTTCCCTTCTGACATGTTGGCCCCTTCTGGTCCATTCTTCACCAGAAGAGAGAGTGATCTTTCCAAAATGTTAATCACAGATCATGAACTGATAATTGCTGAAGCTATGTGATGGATTCATTATATTAATTTCTTCCCCTTTGTAAATGTTTGAAATTATCAAATCTGAAAAACCGAAATGTTATTTAGATTATTTTATTTTACTTCTCTGCTGACTTCTCACTGTTCTTAGGATAAAATCCAAATGTCTTGCCAAGGCCTGTGAACCCCAGCCTGACCTCTGACAACATGTCCAGTTTTATCTGATGCCATTCTTCTTGCTCACTTGCCCAGTTTATAACCTTTCAGTTTTAAGAACTCCTTAAGCTCTTTCTTATCTTAGAGCATTTGTGCTTGTTATTTCCTCTACCAGAAAATGCTCATCCCCTCGCTCTTCGCAAGTCTGGCTCCTTCTCGGTTTCAGGTCTTAGCAAAAATGTCACCTCCTTAGAGAGGCTTTTCTTAGCCTCTCCATCTAAATTAGATCCTCTCCCTTCACTGGTACTATCACATTATTCTATTTACTTCCTATCTTACCACAATTTATAACTGTTGTTTGTTTATATTTATATATATAATTACACTTACTTGTAAATTTGAACGAAACTTTTTAACTTTTGTAAAATATTTTATTTATTCATTTGAGAAAGAGCACAAGCAGTGGGAGCAGCAGAGGGAGAGGGAGAAACAGGCTCCCCGCTGAGCAGGGAGTCCAACATGAGACTCAATCCCAGGACCCCATGATTATGACCTGTGCCAAAGGCAGATGCCCAACCAACTGAGCCACCAGGTGCTTCTGAATGAGTCTTTAAAAAAGATATTTGAAGGTATATCCATACATGTTCTGTTCTATTCTTGTTATAGTGTCAATTCTTTGAAAAATTGGTAAATACAAATTTTAATCATCTTTCTTCATAAACAAAGACTTATTTTGGGGGAAGATTTTATTTATTTATTTGAGATAGGAAGAGAGCAGGAGAGAGAGAGTGCATGAGCAGGGGTTGGGGGCTAGGGGCAGAGGGAGAGGGAGAGCAGGCTCTCCACTGAGCAAGGAGCCTGATGCGGGGCTCGATCCCAGGATCCTGGGATCACAATCTGAACAGAAGGCAGATGTTTAACTGACTGTGCTACCCAAGTGCCCTCATAAATATTCATAAATAAAATAAGATTTTGATCAGGAGAGTAACTTCTTGAAATTTTAAGAGGAGAGTAATATGAAATATGAATTGGTGAAGGTGAAATTGTCATTAGAAACGTCTATTTGAATATACCCTTTATTTGATTCTAAATTTTCCAGTGCTTTTGAAGCTGAATAATTTTGTGACAGCCACAGTATGATTTAAATGTTTAATCTCTGGAATTATATTCTGTATTATTGACATGACACCTCTATCATTTCTAAGACCAATATATTTATTTTTATTTATTTATTTATTTATGATAGAGAGAGAGAGAGAGAGAGAGAGAGAGGCATAGACACAGGCAGAGGGAGAAGCAGGCTCCATGCACAGGGAGCCCGACGTGGGATTCGATCCCAGGTCTCCAGGATCGCGCCCTGGACCAAAGGCAGGCGCTAAACTGCTGTGCCACCCAGGGATCCCAAGACCGATATATTTAAATTTTATCAGGTGTTAATTTCAGGCAGCTCTCCTTGAGATATGAAAAGAAGAACTCAGCAGGTAATTTGGCAGATTCTCTCCTCTGCTGATCATTATCCTGATTCAGGGTCATAGAATTCATCTAAACTGTGTTAGAACAAAAGCAAAGCCACATAAGCCACCTACCAAATCAGTGAGCAGATGAGAACTGTCTGCCAGTCCTTTGAATGAAACCCCCCGACATAACAGATTTTAGAACTGGAAGATATCTTACAGATCATGTAATAATCCAAGGCTCTCATTTTAACAGGGGTGAGACGGTTGTTTGAACAGGTCAACTGATTTACTCCTCCCAAACGTAACTTCCTAATCTGGTTAATTCAAGGTCTTACTTTCAGAAGACCCTTAAGGAATCATATAGTAAATTAGTAGTGCCAAATTGAGATCCGGGCTTTTGTCGTAAATCCATTATTTTCACTATATTAAGATGGATTCTTCCCCTCTTCTTTCCTGCATCTTCCGAGTCTTTAAGTGTCCAATTATTCCAGTGACCTCTGCTTCTTTGGAGTTGTTGTCAAGATTCCAATATTTTCTTCATTTTTAAAATATGGTTCGATTTGCCAAAGTAATTGTGCACAAACGCAACGGAATATACTGCCTATTAGTACTTCTTTTACGTAACCAGCCCAAGGTGGGTTAATAGCTGCGCATTATTCAAGTTTTGTTCAGATGCTTTGAAAATTTACTTGTCGATTTTTTTTCTAATTTATTTTTTATTGGTGTTCAACTTACCAACATACAGAATAACCCCCAGTGCCCGTCACCCATTCACTCCCACCGCCCCCCCTTTTTTTTGTTTTTTTTTAAGTTTATTTTTAAAGCTGCTGATTTTTTTTTTTTTAAGATTTAAAAACTTCACTTATTTGACACACAGAGAGAAAGCGTAAGCAGGGGGAGCAATAAAGGGAGAGAGAGAGAAGCAAGCTCTCCGCGGAGCAGGGAGTGCAATAGGGCCCGGATCCCAGGATCCTGAGGCTCATCATGACCTGAGCCAAGAGCCACCCAGGCGCCCCTTACTTGTGATCTGATGCTTGCTGTGAGTAAAGATGGACACATCTCACGTAAAGTGGATGGGTCCTCACCTTGATGACGTGGTGGCAGGTTGGCTATCAGTGGCAATGCCGGTTAAGTAAGCGTCTATGGGGCCCGAGACCACTGCGACCCCTGGGCGCTGCACCAAGCGTTCTGGAGGCGGGAAATGTTTCGGTCTCCCTCGCAGGCCTTTGCACTTCAGAGTTAAGGGTTCGGGGCCAGACTTTCCAAGCTCTTCAGGAACGCTCCACGTACCTGGAATACGTCACCACAGCAGTTTCCCCAGCCGCCACGACAGCCGACGGCCCCAGACGTGCCCTAGCTCGGGGCTTTAAGACACAACCATAAAATGACAGGGAGCTTGATTCCCTTCCGTCTCCCCGCGGAACCACGCCCAGCCTATCCCGAACACGCTCACCTTCCTCCCGTCTCCGGACAGCAGCAGAGGCTCCACGGCCTTCCGTCATCCTTGCGGCGTCGGCGGCCGGCGCATCTCCGGGGGCAAATCCATCCCTCGCCGCAGGACCGCGACATCCCGCAGTCGAAGCTCACTTCCCTCCTGGCTGCTGAACCGCAGCTGGGCAGCCCGGGGCGCTCTGCCACGCCCCCCCCCCCCCCCGCCCCGACCCCGGCTGGGTGCACCCGCCTGGACCCGCCTGCGGGCCGCGCGGCGCGCCGGGGGGCGGGGGCGCCAGCTGCAAAGCCGCGCGGGACCCTGGCGGCCTCGCGAGCACCGCGGGAGGAGGAGGGTGGGCGCGCGCCGCTCTCGCGAGAGCTCGCGGGAGGAGGGCCGCGGGGGGGAGGGCGGCGGCGGCGGAGAAGGGCGAGGGCGGCGAGCAGCTCTGCGGCTGCGGCGGCGGCTGTGCTCCCGGGAGCGGGCGTGCGGCCCTTTCCCCGCCTCCTTTTCCTCCGCCTCCCCGTGAGTGATTCAAGCCGGGCGCCTCTCACTTCCGCCCCCTCTGCCTGCCATTGGAACTCCGGAGCCGAGCAAGTTGCGCCGCGGGAAAGCCGGCGCCCCCTTCCCCCTGCCCTCCTGCCCGCCCCTCTTCTCCCCCGGCCGCCGCCGCCGCCGCCGCCGCCGCGGTCCGGAGGCCTAGAGACCGCCGAGCCCCAGCCCACGCCGCGGCCGACATGAGCTTCTTGTTGTGAGTAGCCAGGCCCCGCGCGCCGGCTTTGTTCGGGCGGCCGGGGGGGGGGGGGGCGCGGCCGCAGCTCCCGGGCCCCGCGCTCGTCTCCGGGAACCAGCCCCGTGCGCTGGCGCTGCTTGGCGGCTGTGGCCCCCCGCGACGCGGCTCGAGCTCCCCTGCAGCCCTGCCGCCCCCGAGGAGGCCCTGTCGCCCCGAGGCCCGACACACCCGACTCACCCTGGACCTGCATTTCTCCATCGCTCCGATCCTCCCCTTGCCCCTCGTCTCGGGCCCGCACGCCCTGCGGGGACACCTGCTACTCCTCCGTGGGCCTGTGCCTCGCGTGCCGGGGAGCCCCGTCTCCGTTCCGCTCGCCCGTGGCCTTTTTCTGGGTCCCGAGCATAGAAGATTGGGCGCTGCACTTTTTTTTTTTTCCTCTGTGACCTCAGCACCCTTTTAACTTTTCTCTTAGGTTTTAGGAGTGGAAAGTCGGGGTGCCAAGTCCCGTGGATGTAATAACACCCTTAATGAGGCTGCTTTCGGGGCCGGATGCCCTCGAGACAGCCCGAGGTCCTGCTTCCCCGCGGCGCCCCTTCTCCCATCCCAGTGTGCTCCCCTGGAAAGTTCGGGCCTTATCTTTTTAGACAACCACCGATCAGTCGGGGTGGTGTGTCCGGGGTTGATTAGGTCCGCGGGGAGTTGTTTTGCAAAGGATTTGAAAATGCCAATAACGTCACATTGAGGACGGGTCGTTATTTCATTTACGCATCCTTTATTGTAGACGATTTTAGGGGGGATGGGCAGACAAATGGGATGGCCAGATGGGAGTATGGGGGCAGCAGACAGCCTCGGGTCGTCAGTAAACAGGACACGGCACCCTTGGAATTCCTCTTTTGGAGGCTTCGTTGTGATTCACCTCTGTTTAATCTGTGATTAGAAAGCTCATAAAAACTCGGAGATTGAAACTTGCACCCTATGCTCCTTTACTGTCGTGGACAGGATAGCATTTTAGCTTTTTTCTTCACAACAATGACACTAGCAGTTCTTTTTTTTTTTTAATTTTTATTTATTTATGAGAGAGAGAGAGAGAGAGAGAGAGAGGCCGAGACACAGGCAGAGGGAGAAGCAGGCTCCCTGCACCGGGAGCCCGACGTGGGATTCGATCCCGGGTCTCCAGGATCGCGCCCTGGGCCAAAGGCAGGCGCCAAACCGCTGCGCCACCCAGGGATCCCGACACTAGCAGTTCTGCCCCGATTTTCTTCTTTCCCCACCTGTGATTTTTAGTCATCAACGTTGGCACTTGGACCCTGAGAATTTAATTGACCCTTCAATTTCACGTGCTCCTATGTGGAATTTTGATCGTTTTTCGAGCATTAAGCAAAGCAGTGATCACAGAACGTTAACTGGCAGGTGGTGGGCTTGCTAATATTTCTCGTATGCACAGGAGCCCTGCCTTGTGTCACCCTGCGGAACACATGTGAGTTGGTGAAATCTCTTTCTTATAGGCTCATCCTGGAAGTTGATCTGAGTGTGTCATACAGGTGTGCTAGATAGATGAGAGGACTGGGTGACTTTATGAAGGTCTTTGCTTCCAATTTTAGCTTGAATCAAGATATCGAGGCATCTCAGCTTGAAGCTTCTCATCTAGACTATGTTTTACATTGCTTGTATTTGATTTCTTCAAGAGTGTAGAAGCTGTCTTCAAAATAGCAATGTGGATGATGTCCATGACTGCTGCTGATGGGCCTGTGTCTCTTGGAACTCAGAGCTAAATTGGTTGAAGCAGGGAAGAACCATATTTGGCTGAAACTAGGGGGTGGAGAAGGTCTTGGTGATATTTTCTGAATACAAATAGAATAGTATCCTATTTTTACATGGCTCAGCATTTTATAGTTACTGAAATGCAGTGCTTAAGTTCATTTCTTCTGAAGCATACGAGTTACATAAGAAAAACCCTGCCATAACAAATGTGTGTGTGTGTGTGTGTGTGTGTGTATATATATATATAGCACATTATAGGTTTGTACTCTCTGGAGCACAATTTTTCAGTTAGGTTTCATGTAGCAGTTAATACATTCCCAATATATTTGGCCCTCATGCCTGACAATCCAAAAAAGTTAATCCAACCTTATTGGTTTTGTTTTTTGTCTACCAGTAGTTTCAAATCTAAAGTGGAGACCTCATGGATAGAAGTAATTATTATCAAAGTGAAAGAACAAAGTTTTGATTATTTCATCTATGTATTATTTGGTATATCTTCCTGAAGATATACACCTATTTCTGTACCAGTAGGTGAGCAGGAAAATTAAAAGTTGCAAGTTAGGAAGTAAATGTAAACATTTTCTTCTGGCTCTTGGAAGCCTGCTTGTAACTGTAAATGATGGAGCCGAGGAAATAAGGGCAATGTGAGATAGGTTTATGAAGGTGCTGACTCAAAACTCCTGAGGGCTTTAAGACAGAAGGAGAGAATTATTGGTTAAGAAAGTCGTTTATTGTGCCGGGTGCTGATGTAGGCACCGGGTATCATTTATGAACAAAACAGACAAAAATTCCTGTATTCAGCTTATGTTTTGGTAAGTGACCATAAACACTGAATATCAGTAAATTATATTGCATTGTAGGAGGATGTAAGTGCCATGGAACAAAGTAAAGCAGGGTAAAGAGGTTTTTTTGGAAGGGGAGATGAGGTAGATTAGGTAATCCCCAAATGGTACCCAGATAATCAGCAGCAATGATACCTTTTATAGCTTTTGTGCAAATGCTCAGAATAAATTGTACAGCATCTATAGATATGACTGGGACAAACCTTTGGTTGTGCTATAAATTGGCCTTTATGTATCTTCAGATTAATAAGCTAAACTCCCAAATGTACATAGGGAAACTTCACAGGAACCTAATTTAACTTTGTAGTCTCAAATCTTTAAACATCCTCAGCACCTGCTGTGTGCTAAGCATTGTGCGGGATGTGGAACTCCAGAGTGGTAGACAGTTTATAAATAGTCATCTGTAATAGATACAATACAGGCATGGAGGTCTAAAGAATATGGAATAATTTGTTTTATTTGGGCTGGAGGAAGGCTTCTTGAAATAAGTGATTGATAGTTAATGGAATGTATAACAAGGGTTCTCTAAAAGGGTATGGGAAACTAGAAGATTTCAGTCGGAGGAAACATCACAGAAACGTGAATTTGCTTGTGAATTGTCCATTTTCAGGTCTGTCCAGGAGGCTATGGAATTGTGGAGCTAGATGGGATCTTTAGTAACATAGCTTACTCAACCTCTTTTGGGTAAAATGGCAAAATCAACGACATCAGGTTACCAGCCTAATTATTGGCTTGCGTTGAATTGAAACACAGGCCTTTTAGGGTTTTTCCTCTCTTGGCATTTTATGCACATAACATTCAGGGAAATTTAGTATCAGAGTGAGTTCTCAATGTTCATTCAGAGTACGTTGAGTGTTTTCTCTTCTGACCAATAGAATTTCACTAAAATATTTGACTTGGAAAAGACCAAGATATTATTTCCTAATGTAGGGCTACTTGATTGGAACAGAGTTAAAACAAATACTTGTAGTTAACTTTAAAATGGAAGTCTGGAGGAAAGGTGGTTTAAGGTTGTGAATGAATATAAACCATGTCTGTTTCTGTATAGGGAGAATCAGAGAGATCCGTTGGGAAAGGAAGGAAATACTGAGCATGATTCTAGGTAAATTCAATTTATCTTTTCTAAAAAAAAAAAAAAAAGCAATTTAGGAAAGGAGATGTAGCTGTGTTTATATGTGTCTCTGTCTCCCTCTTCTATCTCTTTCCGTCCTGCCCCCCCTCACCAAAAATAACCCCAGCATCTTTGTTTTAAGGCAAATAAGTTGACTGGAGTGCTTCAGCATCTTCACCTATAAAGGAAATTAATATTAATAATAGTAATAATAATAAATATTGCTAAGTGTTTACCATGTGCCAGGCACTCAGTGCTTTAAATGATTAACTTAGTTCAATAACTAGCAGAAGAAGAAACTAGCAAAGAGAGGTTAAATAATTTGTTTAAAATTATGGGGCCAGTGGTATAGCAGGGGTCTGAATTTTAGCAGTCTAGATCCAACAGTCCTGCCTCATATCTATAATTGATAAAATTATATAAAAAGATAGTATTCAAAAGGCCTTGTTTTTAGAAGTCTCCTATTCCCAGGTATTAATAGCTCATACTCCTGGACTGTTTGCTAAGGGTCACCAAGAATATAATAGTGGAAGAAAAAAATAGAAGCTTTTAAATTTAAATAATACTTATAATTATTTTTGACTTCCATCTTTTAAAAAAGATTTTATTTATTTATTCATGAGAGACACAGAGAGGCAGAGAAAGGCAGAGGGAGAAGCAGACTCCCTGTGGGAGCCTGATGCAGGACTCAGTCCCAGGACCCCAGCCAGGTTCACGACCTGAGCCAAAGGCAGATGCTCAACCAGAGTCATCCAGGTGCCCCTTGACTCCCATTTTTAATGTAAAAATAATACACATGTTGGAGAAATCACAATATAGTGCTAAGAAAAGCAAGAAAATAAGTCACTCATAATCATTACACCTTCCAAAATAACTATTATTTGTATTCTGTGATACAGTTTCCTCATCTTTCCTGCCACGTTTCTACCACATATAGACCAGATTTTTCATTTGGGAATTTTTTTATGTCAGCAAACATCATTCTGCAATATGATTTTGAATGGCTGTTGACCAAGTGTTAACAGTTTTGTTTTCTGACAGCCTGATTTACTGTTATGCTTTTTCGTGGGGAGAGGGAATAGATTAAGTGTGGTCATCTTTTTAAAACTACAGTTTGAGAATTGTAGATACCTGACTGGGTTTAGTTTACTTTTCCTATCTAATATAGAATTGCTTTTGCTTTACATTACTGAGTGCAAAATAATTACTATGTGATCACTTTTATCATTATTGATTTTTTTTTTTTGCCCTCATAGTTGCAGAGTTTTTATACCTTTGGAGTGTCTAATATACAAAAGCACATGTAGTACTTCTTCTCAGCTGTATATTTGATTATGAGGTATTGGGACAGAATGCTATGTGTTACTTGAAAAAATAGGAAAAAATGGTACCTTTTAGGAGCGTTGTCTTATAGAGAAATTTTTTTAACTCTTCTTTCCACATTTCCATTTTTTAAAATTGAGATATAATTGATATATAACATTATGTTAGTTTCAAGAGTACAACTTGCATTTTTGTTTTGTATCAATCATCTAACTTAAGGCCATCTTTCTTTTTTTTTTTTAATAAATTAATTTTTATTGGTGTTCAATTTACCAACATACAGAATAACACCCAGTGCTCATCCCGTCAAGTGTCCCCCTCCGTTAAGGCCATCTTTCATAGCTCATTTAGTAAAAAGTGTAGAAAAGTGTAGCTGTGAAACCTGTTCATTTGTAGAAAGTGGTTTTTAAATTTTATTTTGAAAGATTTTCAGATTTTTAGAAAAGTTGCAAAAAATAGCTCAAAGAATTCCTACATAGTTTTTATCCAGAGACCCCATTTAGTGTGATCCAATAATGTTATCCTCAGCAAAAGGGTCCAGTCATGACTCACCCAATTTTGTTCTTCAGCCTTCTTCCAACTGAAATATTTCCTTAAGTTTTCCCTTGCCTTTCAGGACCTTGATATTTTTGAGGATTATAGGCCAGTTATTTTGTGGAATATCCTTCAGTTTGAGTTTGTCATGTTTTCTTGTGGTTAGACCTGGTTATGCATTTGGGGCAAAAATACCACAGAAGTGTTACATAGGTTTATCTTATAGCTTCTTATGGTGCATTTAACATATGTTTGCCCATGATTGGAAGTGATCCTTTGATTAAAGTGTCTATAGAGATTCTCCAGTGTGACATTATTATATATGTTTTTTCCTTTGAGTAATTAATATTTTGTGGGGAGGTGTTTTGAGACTGTGGAACTGTCTCATTCCTCATTTTGTTTTCACCCACTAGTTTTAGTGTTCATTGATGTTTCTTGTCTAACTTATTACTATGATGGTTGTGTTCTAATTCTGTCAGGCTTTTACATTTATTTGACATTTTTACTGAAGAACTTTATCAGTGGAGGCATTTTGATTCCTATTGTATTTAATGATTTATAATCTATAATTATTTATGTTGATGCTCATAATGTTTCAGCTTTGGCTAGTGGGAGCCCTGTTCAGTCTGGTTTCTATGTCTCTATGCTTGTCTCTTTTTCTGAGTATTTCCTAACTTTCTGGCACAAACAGGTATTCCAGATTTGTCCTGAATTTTTTGTGCCCTGTACCTGGAAATGGCCATTTCTCTAAAGGTGTTTATTCTGTTCATTGAAAAATGGTATTGAGAAAACAGAATGTAGGTGATAGGTATGTTAGTACAGATATGTTGCTGTTCCCAGGCCCTCTCAGCGGATAGTGCTAGAAAATACCATGTCCACATACATTTACATATACGTATATTTTTTTCTATCTGTATGTATTGAGTGAGTTCATACTAATATCTGCAGGCCTGATCCAAGTAGCACAGGGTTCATTCTACTTTATCTCTTCACATATTTTTCACTTTGTTAGTGAAAAATAGGCTCCCATAATCCTCAACATATGCATTTGCTCAAACGACTGTGCATTGCCATTCTCCTAACCCTTCCTGGCCACCCTTGTTGTGGCTCCAGCTTCCACATGTCATCCATGTCTCCGGAGCATGTGCAGGCCCCTGCTTCAGCCGTATTATGGTTGAAAGCAGACTGAGACTCCACTGTGTATGGTATGAGTATGATAGTAATCTATTTTTTTTTTCCTATGAATCCTGTGTTAGGATCAAGACCTCAGATATGTTGGAAGGATTAAAGATACTGAATGTAAAAGGCCTAGCTCAATAAATTATAGTTAAGTGCAGCAGCAATATCTAGTTTATTATTGATAACTCAGCAGTGTCATGATTGCTAGTAGCTGTTATTATTTTTTATTGACATATTCATCATTCTGATTACTTAAATCATACACAATTTCTGTAGGTTTATAATCATATGTATCAGTGCTACTTTGATTTTTCTGCAGTTAGAACTTACAAGCAGGAGTTTGAAGGCAAGCAAATATTTGAGTAATGGTTTACCTCATAGCCAAGTAGTCTTATTATTACTATTTATGAAGGAAAGTTTGCATTTTCTTTTATTGCTACTATTATTTTATCTTTCAGCCTAAATCCATTTGTTCTCAAATTCAAATTTGATAAGAACAGTTCAGTAGTTATAGTATTAAGTATCAGAGGAATATTTTTTGTGTGTTTCTTTGTAGAAGTAGATAATGGTATAACAAATACTTTCTTAATAATCAGTGTAAATATAGAATAATAAGTAGAAGCAATAGAGGTGAAAGCCTTTTATGGCAACTTTTCTGGTATCTTGGTGCCTCGATCATGTTCCAGACAGAGGAGCAGCAGCATGGCCTTTTTGCTCGTAGGGAAACTTTTTGCTTGTTAGTGTCCTGTTAGCATTAGATTTTACTACTGGAAGAACTCTTTGTTTAAAAACTCCCTGTGGCTATAGTTTTTACTTATAGGCCAAGTTCCATTCTCCCTAATTCTTCCCCACATCCTGCCAAATATTTATCTGGCTCTCTTATTTTCAACTCTTAGAAATGTCACTTTTGAATCCGTGACCAACAAACTGAATTGACAAAACTGTATTCTCTCAACCAGAATGAGCGAGTGTTGAAGAGTGTTGCTTATGTCTCTAGTCTATTGTTAAGGACTTCCAAAGGGATCTTATCAGTCAGCTTGTTTAACTCTTTAATCAACCTATTGTCAACCTTGTCATTTTTTTTTTTTCTTAAAGTAAACTCTAACTCCAACGTGTAACTCCAACTTTACAGACTGAGCCAGCCAGGTACCCTTAACTTGCAGTTTTTAATTTGGGAAATGACAAGTTACCAAGAACCAAAATAAAGTTTTTTGTTTGTTTTTTGTTTTTTTTATCAGACTATATTTACAGCCAAACTATTCCAAAAAGTACAATTATAAGTTCCTGGATATGTATGGGAACCAAAATGTGCCTCAATTGAGTTGTACTGATTTTACCTTTTGCTGAAGTGGGAACATAATTTAGGTGTTGGGACTGTATTGCCTAGTGATACCTGTAAGTTCTAGAGATATCTTTATTTATTTATTTTAATGCCATTCAACATTTAGAAAAAAAGTACCACTGTCATTTTATAGCACCATTGGGAAGCAAGGCTGTAGTTGACTCTCTGGTGTCAGAAGACCACCCCTAGGACTGAGGAAATCCGTATCTGTACATGATTAAAGCTCTTGGTAAGTCTACTTTAGACCCTTAAAGTGTGGGGCTTTGGGCATCACATGGGAGCATGTTAAAAATGCAAGATTTCAGGCCCAAAACCTTGAATTAGAATGCATTTTAAGATTCCTAGGTGAAAAGCATGTTCAAGTTTAAGAAGCTTTAGATAATAGCAAGTGGACGATGTCTGTATATTGAGTTAAATGATTCAAAATAAGGTAAAGAAGAAAAATCCTTGGGATTCAATATTAACACTACCTCCTTTTTTGAGACATTCTGTGAAGCCCTGGTAGAAGCTTGACAAAACTTTAGTCAGGCTCTTGAGCCTTCTTCTAGGCTCATCTGTGTACTTTATAAAGTTTAGTTTTAGCAGAGACCCTGCTTGCTGAATTTAACCAGAACCCCCTTTCCCCAACCTCAATATCTGATTTAGCTTCATCATCTACCATTGTCCCTCAGGTGATGTCTGATCACCCTGGCTTGTGTCTTCAGCAAGAATCCTGTTAGGTCAATTTAGTTAGAACCCTTCTAACCCTGATGTTTTCTCCTAGTAATTTTCTATCCACTTATCCCTATACCTTGCTCCTTGCCTCTAATTCCCACTTGCACATGCTTTATTTAGATTTGAACCCCATCTCTCCCAATGCCACTCTCCCCCACTGTAAAATCCCATTGCAGTTGTTCCTTTATCTATCTCATTGTTCCTGAATAAAGTCTGCCTTACTATCTTTGACAATTGTCAGTGAATATTTTTTTTCTTTAACAGTTCTCAAGGAGTTTAGGTCCCTTGGTTGTCTTTGCATACCTGTGATTACTTTTATTAATTATTAATTAAGGTTTTTCTCCCCTTCTGAACATTAAGTTTCATAGGGTTTGTTCGCTATTTTATTTCCCAGGGTGTTAGTACATTGCTTGGTAAATATGTCATCTACTTACTTATCTATCTGGACCAAAGACTTTGAAACCCAGGACCCCTCATTCATAGGCCACTACTCTTTCCATAACAATCTTTAGGAAATATATATATATATAAAGAATAGTGGCCCATGAATGAGGAGACCTAGGTTTCAAAGTCTTGATCTGTCACCAGACATGTGACTTTGGGCACATCATTTAATTTCTTCTGTTTCCTCTGTCTACTGGGTGGAAAGGAATGCCTTTTCCATTGGGTAAATGTGAGAATTGAATGAGAATGTATATGGAAGTTTTTATAAACCAGAGAATCCTGTACAAACACTATTATTATCCTTACTCAAGAAGTTCCCAAGCCCAGTATATAAACTCTTTCTGCATTCCAAATTTATTTAGCTATCTTATAAATGAATGGTATTATTGCATAATACAATAATTTATTAGATATCTCCTGTGTCTAAAGCAAAGTATTAGCTGGTGTTGGGAGGAGAAAGAGGTCCAGAATAATACTTGGAACACCCTGGGAAATTAAAGAGTAAGGGAAGGGAGTGGCTGGAATCCTTTGGATTTTCTTCCTGCAGTTCACTTCAGTTTTTCAGGTAGAGATTGGAGTGTGCTAGCAGTGGTTGGCAAAATCCCAAGACATAGAGAACCTCTGTGATATGGTGTTTGTTTATTACTCCAGCCTCATTTGTGCCTTCCTTCCATGTCTTCCCTCACAGAGCCCAGCCATTTTATTTTATTTTTGGAGGGGGAGGGGCAGGGAGAGAGGGAGAAAAAGAATCTGAAGCAGGCTTCATGCCTGGCCCAGAGACCGACTTGATCTCACAACCCTGAGATCATGACCTGAGCCAAAACCTGGAGTCAGATGCTTAATTGACTGAACCACCCAGGTGCTCCAATTTGCATTTCTTTCAACATGCATTTCTTCCTTGTCTGCCTGCCTCTGTAAATGCTGTTCCTGTTGTTCTGGCTGGACTGCCTTTCTTCCCACCCTCATTTTTTCAGTTCAAGAGTCAGTTCTTTTTCCCTGCCCTGTGCCCCCTTTCCGGTTTGTTACCATTTGGTACCATTTCAGATTCCTTCATGTTCCTTATTATAACCATTATCAAAAAAGATACCGTATTTGTCCGTTTTCAGGCCTTTCTTCATCAGAATGTGTGACCTCACAATTTCAAAAGCCGTTTTTAAATCTTTGCCACCTAGCATAGTGCCTAGCACATACTCAGTAACAAATTTTTTAAAAAATCTGTGACATTTTCAAGTATTTCCTGGTGGTAGGTGGAGGTGTGAGTGATTTCTTTTATTCTGCTCTGATTTTGACCTTCAAGAGACTTGGGAAATAGAAATAGGTGGCTACTGTGCACAGAAAGGTTTGGAACACCTATTTATTGGATCTGTATCTCACAATTTTGTAGAGACCTTGTTATCTTACCCTCTTTTCAGGATTGATATATGCCAGGCACATTTCCTACCTGCCTAAGAGTGCTTATTTTCCTTTATCCCTACCACCATTATACTAATAAGAATAATCATCAAAAAAACTTCTTGGCTTCTTAGGCTTTTCATATTAATGCCAGGGAAACAAGTTGTTGTTGTTTTTTAATTTTTTTTAAATTAAAGTGGGACTAGAACTCATGATCCTGAATTAAGACCTGAGCTGAGATCAAGAGTTAGATGCTTGGGCAGCCCAGGTGGCTTAGTGGTTTAGCACTGTCTTCAGCCTGGAGCGTGATCCTGGAGTCCCGGATCGAGTCCCACATCAGGCTCCCTACATGCAGCCTGCTTCTCCCTCTGCCTGTGTCTCTGCCTCTCTCTCTCTCTCTCTCTCTCTCTCTCTTTCTCTCTTTCTCTCTCTCTGTGTCTCTCATGAATAAATAAATAAAATCTTAAAAAAAGAAAGAAAGAAAAAAAAGAGATGCTTAATTAACTGAGCCACCCAGGTGCTCCCAAAGTACACAAGTTAATGGTATGGTAAAGAGTCTTCCAAAGAATCCCCCCCCCCTTTTTAAAAGACTATTTATTTATTCATGAGAGACACAGAGTGAGAGAGAGAGGCAGAAACACAGGCAGAGGGAGAAGCAGGCCTATGTAGGGAGCCTGACGTGGTACTTGATCCCGGGTCTCCAGCATCACAACCTGCGCAGAAGGCTGAGGCACCCGGCTGCCCCTTCTTTTCTAACGAAATAGTTAGGGTACTTGCTTACATTACCATCAGTCTTCTTCCTCTTTTATTTTAAAAGGGTAAAGTAATGCTTTATGTTATAATTTAGAATGGAGCTATTTATTAATAATTGAAAATTTAAAATTAACAGTCATGTAAAAAATAATAGAATATAATTAAAATTTTTTGTTGCTCAATGTGTTTAACAGTCATAAAATTAAGTTTTAAAATATTAGTAACTTATTAGGAAGTTATTAATTTTCTCCAAGATCTGTACAGATTATGGTCTGTAAAGGGGGATTTTACAAAATGAAATATTTAACTTTAATTGGATTTCTTCTTAATTATCTTTGATATTTTAATGCAGATAATAAGCTACTGATTTAATGCAAATGGCATGTTTGGGAGGCAGATGGCATACTTGGAGCTGTAAAAATGACTTACAGATTCTGGAAATAGATTTAAAGCAGCTTTTCAGGGCACCTGGGTGGCTCTGTGGTGGAGTATCTGCTTTTGGCTCAGGTCATGATCCTGGGGTCCTGGGATTGAGGCCCACATTAGGCTCCCCCCAGGGAGGCTGCTTCTCCCTCTGCCTATGTCTCTGCTTCTCTCTGTCTCTCATGAATAAATAAATAAAATCTTAAAAAAAAAATAAAGCTGCTTTTCACCTATTACTTTTAACATGTTTATTACTCTTCTCATGGAGTCTGATAGAGAGCTCTGTCAGGGTTTTTCTCTCTGTATTATTTCAAGGTAGAGAGTGGTTTTTTTTCTTCCCAAAGTGCTGTTGAATTTGAAGCATATGCTTTTATGAAGTGCTTATAGTTTTGAACATTTATAGGCTGATTGTTATGAGTAAGGTATATGGTGTGACAACTCAAGGACATTTTATCATTTTATCAGTAAATACTTCACCTATTTGTATATATGAGAAACCCTGCTAACCTTAATGGATTTGTTCCCTTTTCTTGTGGCAGTTCTGATACATTTCACTTAGTTAAAAAAAAAAAAAACTGGGGGTGATGAGGGAAGATTTTTATGATTAGTTTTATGCATTTTTTTTTCTTTTTCTCCTCTTTGGTGGTTTTCACTTATTTGTGTTATCCTTTCATAGTTTTAAATGGCTGCAGTTGACCCATTGCAGGTACTGGGAAGTATTGCTGAATCCCAGAAAATGTCATTTTTTTCAGTATTAGGATTAAAGTGGCTTTTTTTTTTTAATTGTACCATTCCTCGAGTATTATATAGTCTTTTTTCTGCCTTGTGTTCCCAGGTTTGATTATTATTTTCACAGGAACTCTCCTGACATTACACTGGTAAATATAAGCTGCTTGTTAGCTTTCATTTAGAGGAATGATTGTCCTGTGTTTGGGTGCCGTAGTCTCATGCTTAAATCATTGGTGATTGGAAAGATGGAACCCTTGCTTCCCAACAGAAAAGGAGAATGAAAAAAAAGAAATATTTTATCTGAATTTCTCTAAAGAAGAATTCAGTTTTTCTGATGACCTACAGTTGTACTCTAAAACAGTATAATAGAAAAAATAAAATAAAACCGTATACTAGAGCCTGTGTTGGCTCCTGTAAGTCAGGATCACAGAGGTAAGACTTGGAATTTAGGTAATACTACAGAATTTAAGTTGGGCAAAATCATTGTACTTTTGTGCCTCTTTTTCAACTACTTATAAAAAGCATAGTTTTATATTTACCAATATGCAGTCTTCTTCATGGTGTTTGTGATTTATGGTGACTTGTGGAATTGGTAAGAATGAGATCAAATCTCTGGATAATATACAGTTTTAGAATTGGAGAAGATTCTAGTCCAACCTCTTATTTTTAGATGAACCAGTTGAAACTGGGGGATCTTGTGATTTTCCATGGCTACACTTTGTCAGTTGTATAAACAAATTCTAATGAGACAAATCTTGATTACACTAAGTATTC